AGGGACGAGGCTGGTAACCCACCCACCAATAGAGACGAGGCTGGTAACCCACCCACCAATAGGGACGAGGCAGGTAACCCACCCACCAATAGAGGCGAGGCTGGTAACCCACCCACCAATAGGGACGAGGCTGGTAACCCACCCACCAATAGGGACGAGGCAGGTAACCCACCCACCAATAGGGACGAGGCAGGTAACCCACCCACCAATAGGGACGAGGCTAGTAACCAAACCATCAAAAGACTGACAATTTACATATAAATGATTCACCGTGAACAAGGTGATTATACTTCAAAAGTCTGGTAATGGAAGTTGGTGAATAAAACAGTGCTCCTGGTGTGTGGGTGACGTCAGCGAGTGTGTTCGGTGAGTGACGGGTGAGTCACAAGGGTGGGTGAGGTCAGTGTGTGTGTTCGGTGAGTGACGGGTGAGTCACAAGGGTGGGTGAGGTCAGTGAGTGTGTTCGGTGAGTGACGGGTGAGTCACAAGGGTGGGTGAGGTCAGTGAGTGTGTTCGGTGAGTGACGGGTGAGTCACAAGGGTGGGTGAGGTCAGTGAATGTGTTCGGTGAGTGACGGGTGAGTCACAAGGGTGGGTGAGGTCAGTGTGTGTGTTCGGTGAGTGACGGGTGAGTCACAAGGGTGGGTGAGGTCAGTGAGTGTGTTCGGTGAGTGACGGGTGAGTCACAAGGGTGGGTGAGGTCAGTGAGTGTGTTCGGTGAGTGACGGGTGAGTCACAAGGGTGGGTGAGGTCAGTGAGTGTGTTCGGTGAGTGACGGGTGAGTCACAAGGGTGGGTGAGGTCAGTGAGTGAGTTCGGTGAGTGACGGGTGAGTCACAAGGAATATTCACACACAAGCGCATGAGTGTTCGTCACTTACAAACACAAAATGCTTTTAAAGCTTCCCATCGTCGCTTAAAGTTAATGTTTGACATATACATGAGTTGGGTTGGATACACATAGCGGCTGTGTCCTATGTATCCTTTATTGTTATGTTCTCAACCACACACACACACACACACACACACACACACACACACACACACACACACACACACACACACACACACACACACACACACACACACACACACACACACACACACACACAAAATTATGAGAAGAATCAAGACGGATGAAGATAGACAGAGACTACAGGATGACCTGGATAAACTGGAGGAATGGTCTAGAAAATGGCTGCTGAAGTTCAACTCTGGAAAGTGTAAGGTGATGAAATTAGGCGAAGGGAGCAGGAGGCTGAACACAAGGTATCATCTGGGAGGGGAAATCCTGCAAGAATCAAATAGAGAGAAGGATCTGGGGGTTGATATCACACCGAACCTGTCCCCAGAGGCCCACATCAAAAGAATATCATCAGCGGCATATGCTAGACTGGCCAACATAAGAACTGCCTTCAGAAACTTGTGTAAGGAATCTTTCAGAACCCTGTATACCAATTATGTAAGACCAATCCTGGAGTATGCAGCTCCAGCCTGGAGTCCATACCTAGTTAAACACAAGACAAAGTTAGAGAAGATTCAGCGGTATGCCACCAGGCTCGTCCCGGAACTGAGAGGATTGAGCTACGAGGAAAGGCTAAAGGAGCTGAACCTCACATCCCTGGAAAACAGAAGAGTAAGGGGAGACATGATAACCACCTACAAAATTCTCAGGGGAATTGACAGGGTGGACAAAGACAAACTCTTAAGCACGGGTGGGACACGAACAAGGGGACACAGGTGGAAACTTAGTACCCAGATGAGCCACAGAGACGTTAGAAAGAATTTTTTCAGTGTCAGAATAGTTAATAAATGGAATGCACTTGGAAGTGATGTGGTGGAGGCTGACTCCATACACAGTTTCAAATGTAGATATGATAGAGCCCAGTAGGCTCAGGAATCTGTACACCAGTTGATTGACAGTTGAGAGGCGGGACCAAAGAGCCAAAGCTCAACCCCCGCAAGCACAATTAGGTGAGTACAATTAGGTGAGTACACACACACACACACACACACACACACACACACACACACACACACACACACACACACACACACACACACACACACACAACCATGATTTCAACCATGGAAAGATAGACTGGGAGAATGGGGACCCCACATGGTGGTGCAGATACGTGGCGAGCTAAACTCTTGGAAGTGGCAACATGGAATTTTCTGAGCCAGCATGTCAAGGAACCCACAAGAATGAGAGGCAATGATGAACCAGCTAGACTCGACTTGATATTCACCCTGAATGAGTCAGAAATAAGGGAAGTCAAAGTTGAAGACCCCATAGGAATGAGTGACCACAGTGTACTGACCTTTGAGTACTTGGTGGAGGTAGGGATAACCTATCCTGGGATGGGATCGGAGGGAAAAAGACTAAATTACCGAAGAGGAAAATATGACGAGATGAGGAACTTCCTCAGGGGAATACCATGGGAAACAGAACTTAGAGACAAGAATGTGCAGGTCATGATGGATATTGTCACCCAAAAGTGCCAGGAAGCTGCAGACAGGTTTATCCCCGTCCAAAAGGAGCAAAACGAAAAAAACAGAAAAACCCATGGTTCAACCAGGAATGTAAGGTAGCGAAACAACTGAGTAAAGCATGAAGAAGCTACATAAATAACAGAACACCAGAGAGCAGGGAGAGATACCAGAGGACCAGAAATGAGTACCTCAGAGTGAGGAGGGAAGCAGAGAGACAGTATGAAAATGACATCGCGAGTAAAGCCAAGACCCAACCAAAGCTGCTCCACAGCCATATCAGGAGGAAAACGGCAGTGTAGGAACAAGTGATGAAACTGAGAAAAGGGGAGAACAGATACACAGAGAATGACAAGGAGGTGTGTGAAGAACTCAACACGAGATTCCAGGAGGTCTTCACAATAGAACAAGGAGAAGCCCCTGCACTAAATGAGAAGGCGGCAAACCATGCAATCATGGAGGAATTTGACCTCACCAGTGATGAGGTCAAAAGGTCTCTGCTGTAGCTGGATGTGACAAAGGCTGTTGGGCATGATAGAATCTCACCATGGATTCTAAAGGAAGGTGCAGAAGCACTAAGTGTGCCACTCTCTATGGTGTTTAACAGGTCACTGGAAACAGGAGACTTACCAGAAAGTTGGAAGACAGCTAACGTGGTCCCAATATACAAAAAGGGTGACAGGCAAGAGGCACTGAATTACAGGCCAGTTTCCTTAACTTGTATACCATGCAAGGTGATGGAGAAGATCGTGAGGAAAAGGCTCGTAGAGCATCTGGAGGGAAATAACTTTCTAACGCACCACCAACATGGGTTCAGAGATGGTAAATCGTGCCTCACAGGTTTAATAGAATTTTATGACCAGGCAACGAAAATTAGGCAGGAAAGAGAAGGGTGGGCCGACTGCATTTTCCTGGATTGCCAAAAAGCCTTTGACACAGCACCCCATAAAAGGCTGTTAAAAAAGTTGGAGCAACAGGCAGGAGTAAAAGGGAAGGTGCTCCAGTGGATAAGGGAGTACTTAAGCAACAGGAAACAGCGAGTAACGGTGAGGGGGGAGATATCAGAGTGGCGAGATGTCACCAGCGGAGTCCCACAGGGCTCAGTACTTGGACCCATCCTGTTTCTAATATATGTGAACGATCTTCCAGAGGGTATAGACTCATTCCTCTCGATGTTTGCTGAGGATGCAAAAATTATGAGAAGAATCAAGACGGATGAAGATAGACAGAGACTACAGGATGACCTGGATAAACTGGAGGAATGGTCTAGAAAATGGCTGCTAAAGTTCAACTCGGGAAAGTGTAAGGTGATGAAATTAGGCGAAGGGAGCAGGAGGCTGAACACAAGGTATCATCTGGGAGGGGAAATCCTGCAAGAGTCAAATAGAGAGAAGGATCTGGGGGGTTGATATCACACCGAACCTGTCCCCAGAGGCCCACATCAAAAGAATATCATCAGCGGCATATGCTAGACTGGCCAACATAAGAACTGCCTTCAGAAACTTGTGTAAGGAATCTTTCAGAACCCTGTATACCACTTATGTAAGACCAATCCTGGAGTATGCAGCTCCAGCCTGGAGTCCATACCTAGTTAAACACAAGACAAAGTTAGAGAAGATTCAGCGGTATGCCACCAGGCTCGTCCCGGAACTGAGAGGATTGAGCTACGAGGAAAGGCTAAAGGAGCTGAACCTCACATCCCTGGAAAACAGAAGAGTAAGGGGAGACATGATAACCACCTACAAAATTCTCAGGGGAATTGACAGGGTGGACAAAGACAAACTCTTCAGCACGGGTGGGACACGAACAAGGGGACACAGGTGGAAACTTAGTACCCAGATGAGCCACAGAGACGTTAGAAAGAATTTTTTCAGTGTCAGAGTAGTTAATAAATGGAATGCACTAGGCAGTGATGTGGTGGAGGCTGACTCCATACACAGTTTCAAATGTAGATATGATAGAGTCCAGTAGGCTCAGGAATCTGTACACCAGTTGATTGACGGTTGAGAGGCGGGACCAAAGAGCCAGAACTCAACCCCCCGCAAACACAACTAGGTGAGTACACACACTCGGGGGTGATCCAAGAGCCAGTGCTCGATCCCGCAAGCACATCTAGGAGAGTACACACCCACGAGAGACCCCCCCCCCTTCAAGACAGGTCTCCGAACGACCATAAATTTTCAGGTTGGAATATTTAGTGCAGAGTCGTCAAGAAGTTTAGCTCGAGAAAAAGTCTTTGAACAGAGCGAATCATTTTATAATATATTTAATATGCTGATAATATTCAGTTATTTTCGTGCTTGGAAACCATTGTAAACCTGTAAACTTAAGGAAATAATACCAGAGTTTACCTTAAGTTTTCATAGTCTTTAAATCTTGAGCTGTTTATGCATGAGGATAATATGCTGGGTCACCATACATATACATGCCTGCTGGGTCACCATACATATACATGCCTGCTGGGTCACTATACATACACATACCTGCTGGGTCACCATACATACACATACCTGCTGGGTCACCATACATATACATGCCTGCTGGGTCACCATACATATACATGCCTGCTGGGTCACCATACATACACATACCTGCTGGGTCACCATACATATACATGCCTGCTGGGTCACCATACATACACATACCTGTTGGGTCACCATACATACACATACCTGCTGGGTCACCATACATACACATACCTGCTGGGTCACCAAACATACACATACCTGCTGGGTCACTATACATACACATACCTGCTGGGTCACCATACATACACACACCTGCTGGGTCACCATACATACACACACCTGCTGGGTCACCATACATACACATACCTGCTGGGTCACCATACATACACATACCTGCTGGGTCACCATACATACACATACCTGCTGGGTCACCATACATACACATACCTGCTGGGTCACTATACATACACATACCTGCTGGGTCACCATACATACACATACCTGCTGGGTCACCATACATACACATACCTGCTGGGTCACCATACATACACATACCTGCTGGGTCACCATACATACACATACCTGCTGGGTCACCATACATACACATACCTGTTGGGTCACTATACATACACATACCTGTTGGGTCACCATACATACACATACCTGCTGGGTCACCATACATACACATACCTGCTGGGTCACCATACATACACATACCTGCTGGGTCACCATACATACACATACCTGCTGGGTCACCATACATACCCATACCTGCTGGGTCACCATACATACACATACCTGCTGGGTCACCATACATACACATGCCTGCTGGGTCACCATACATACACACACCTGCTGGGTCACCATACATACCCATACCTGCTGGGTCACCATACATACCCATACCTGCTGGGTCACCATACATACACATACCTGCTGGGTCACCATACATACACATACCTGCTGGGTCACCATACATACACATACCTGCTGGGTCACCATACATACACATACCTGCTGGGTCACCATACATACACATACCTGCTGGGTCACCATACATACACACACCTGCTGGGTCACCGTACATACACATACCTGCTGGGTCACCATACATACACACACACCTGCTGGGTCACCATACATACACATACCTGCTGGGTCACCATACATACACATACCTGCTGGGTCACCATACATACCCATACCTGCTGGGTCACCATACATACACATACCTGCTGGGTCACCATACATACACACACCTGCTGGGTCACCATACATACACACACCTGCTGGGTCACCATACATACACATACCTGCTGGGTCACCATACATACACATACCTGCTGGGTCACCATACATACACACACCTGCTGGGTCACCATACATACACACACCTGCTGGGTCACCATACATACACATACCTGCTGGGTCACCATACATACACATACCTGCTGGGTCACCATACATACACACACCTGCTGGGTCACCATACATACACACACCTGCTGGGTCACCATACATACACATACCTGCTGGGTCACCATACATACACATACCTGCTGGGTCACCATACATACACATACCTGCTGGGTCACCATACATACACATACCTGCTGGGTCACCATACATACACACACCTGCTGGGTCACCATACATACACACACCTGCTGGGTCACCATACATACACATACCTGCTGGGTCACCATACATACCCATACCTGCTGGGTCACCATACATACCCATACCTGCTGGGTCACCATACATCATACTGAAAACATTGCACTTAACGACAAATACTTTTTTTATTCTAAAGATCACGAGAACTGTACCTTACATAACCCCCCCCCCCTCGCACATGCGCGAGCACACACACACACACACACACACACACACACACACACACACACACACACACACACACACACACACACACACACACACACACACACACACGCGCACACACACACACACACACACACACACACACACACACACACACACACACGCACACACACACACACACACACACACACACACACACACACACACACACACACACACACACACACACACACACACACACACACACACACACACACACACACACACACACACACACACACACACACACACACACACACACAGGTATGTGTGTGTGTGTTTGTGTGCGAGCGAGCGAGGGAGCTGAGAGGTATGAGCTACGAGGAGAGACTACGGGAATTAAACCTCACTTCGCTGGAAGACAGAAGAGTTAGGGGGGACATGATCACCACATTCAAGATTCTGAAGGGAATTGATAGGGTAGATAAAGACAGTCTATTTAACACAAGGGGCACACGCACAAGGGGACACAGGTGGAAACTGAGTGCCCAAATGAGCCACAGAGATATTAGAAAGAACTTTTTTAGTGTCAGAGTGGTTGACAAATGGAATGCATTAGGGGGTGATGTGGTGGAGGCTGACTCCATACACAGTTTCAAGTGTAGATATGATAGAGCCCAATAGGTTCAGGAACCTGTACACCTGTTGATTGACGGTTGAGAGGCGGGACCAAAGAGGCAGAGCTCAACCCCCGCAAACACAACTAGGTGAGTACACACATTAAGCCTGCCACTGTGACCTCTGGCAATAGACGGTCCAGGAAACATTTGGAGATTTGGTTTACAAACGCCGACGGAGATACAAACAAAGCAGAGGAAATTACAGAAAGAGTAAGTGAAAATAATCCAGATTTGATTGCAATAATGGAAAGGAAAATAAATTATATGCTCTCTTATGCAATATTCTCAGGGGGGGGGGGGGGGATGACAAGGATAAGGAAAGTAAGACAACAAAGGCAAGGAGGAGAAGAAGTCGCACTCATAGTAAAACGAGAGTTGGAAGTTGGAATAACTGAAGAATGAGAGTGAAAGCACGTACACACACTCCATCATTGAGACACTGACAGCAGAAGGAACAATAATTGTGGTCCTGGTGATTTACAACCCCCCCCCCCCCCCCCCTCCCCCCCCTCCCCCCCCCTCCCCCCCTCCCCCCCTCCCCCTCCCTCCCCTCCCCTATTAACAGAAGACCCCAGGCAGGAACATAACGAAAACAACACAGCCTGTTGATTGACAGTTGAGAGGCGGGACCAAAGAGCCAGAGCTCAACCTCCGCAAGCACAATTAGGTGAGTACAATTAGGTGAGTACAGCGCTCATAGAGGCATCACAGAGAGCAGCAACACTGACACACAGAATGAGAGCTAAAGTTCTAGTCACGGGGGACCTAAATCATAGATATATTGACTGGGATTCCAGAAATCCTCGTGGTTGGGCTGAAACGTGGGGGAGCGAAATTAGTGGAAGTTGTAGAAAGAAACGTCTTAACACAACATATAAAGGAGGACAGAAGAGAAATGGGAGGAGATACAGCAAGTCTAAGTATCTACGGGCTCACCATAGCCCGTGCTACTTGGAACTGTTTGTTCCAAGTAGCGAATCTTTAACAACAACAACAGCAAGTCTACTGGACTTGATCTTCACCCAGACTGAGGAAGACATTGAGGACTTAGAGCATGACATACCACCAGTAGCACGTGACCATTGTGTTCCTGATGTTCCACTACATGATGGACCTCACAACAGGGCCCAGGAGACAAGGGGGTCACGGAAGGGAGAGCAGACCATAAGAAAGGAGACTACGTGAAAGTAAGAATATCAGGGAAGTGTGTAACGGGCGGAGGACCTTAGAGGGAAAACGGTCCAGGACATGATGAACCAAGTGAACCTGAGGTGCACAGAGTTAGAACAGCGATTCATACCACCATTAAGTGTAAGCAGAACACATAACAACCCGGGGGTCAATAGATTCTGAAGGACAGGTCAATAGACAGTGTCAGGAAGCTGCAGGAGAACACATAACAACCCGGGGGTCAATAGATTCTGAAGGACAGGTCAATAGACAGTGTCAGGAAGCTGCAGGAGAACACATAACAACCCGAGAGTCAATAGATTCTGAAGGACAGGTCAATAGACAGTGTCAGGAAGCAGCAAGAGAACACATAACAACCCGAGGGTCAATAGACAGTGTCAGGAAGCTGCAGGAGAACATATAACAACCCGAGGGTCAATAGACAGTGTCAGGAAGCTGCAGGAGAACACATAACAACCCGGGGGTCAATAGATTCTGAAGGACAGGTCAATAGACAGTGTCAGGAAGCAGCAGGAGAACATATAACAACCCGGGGGTCAATAGACAGTGTCAGGAAGCTGCAGGAGAACATATAACAACCCGGGGGTCAATAGACAGTGTCAGGAAGCTGCAGGAGAACATATAACAACCCGAGGGTCAATAGACAGTGTCAGGAAGCAGCAGGAGAACATATAACAACCCGAGGGTCAATAGACAGTGTCAGGAAGCTGCAGGAGAACACATAACAACCCGGGGGTCAATAGACAGTGTCAGGAAGCAGCAGGAGAACATATAACAACCCCTGGGTCAATAGACAGTGTCAGGAAGCAGCAGCAGAACATATAATAACCCGTGGGTCAATAGACAGTGTCAGGAAGCAGCAGGAGAACATATAATAACCCCTGGGTCAATAGACAGTGTCAGGAAGCAGCAGGAGAACATATAATAACCCGTGGGTCAATAGACAGTGTCAGGAAGCAGCAGGAGAACATATAACAACCCGGGGGTCAATAGACAGTGTCAGGAAGCTGCAGGAGAACATATAACAACCCGGGGGTCAATAGACAGTGTCAGGAAGCTGCAGGAGAACATATAACAACCCGAGGGTCAATAGACAGTGTCAGGAAGCAGCAGGAGAACATATAACAACCCGGGGGTCAATAGACAGTGTCAGGAAGCTGCAGGAGAACATATAACAACCCGAGGGTCAATAGACAGTGTCAGGAAGCTGCAGGAGAACATATAACAACCGGGGGTCAATAGACAGTGTCAGGAAGCTGCAGGAGAACATATAACAACCCGGGGGTCAATAGACAGTGTCAGGAAGCAGCAGGAGAACATATAACAACCCGAGGGACAATAGATTCTGAAGGACAGGTCAATAGACAGTGTCAGGAAGCTGCAGGAGAACATATAACAACCCGAGGGTCAATAGATTCTGAAGGACAGGTCAATAGACAGTGTCAGGAAGCAGCAGAAGAACATATAACAACCCGAGGGTCAATAGATTCTGAAGGACAGGTCAATAGACAGTGTCAGGAAGCAGCAGAAGAACATATAACAACCCGAGGGTCAATAGATTCTGAAGGACAGGTCAATAGACAGTGTCAGGAAGCAGCAGGAGAACATATAACAACCCGAGGGTCAATAGACAGTGTCAGGAAGCAGCAGAAGAACATATAACAACCCGGGGGTCAATAGATTCTGAAGGACAGGTCAATAGACAGTGTCAGGAAGCAGCAGAAGAACATATAACAACCTGGGGGTCAATAGATTCTGAAGGACAGGTCAATAGACAGTGTCAGGAAGCAGCAGAAGAACATATAACAACCCGAGGGTCAATAGACAGTGTCAGGAAGCAGCAGAAGAACATATAACAACCCGGGGGTCAATAGATTCTGAAGGACAGGTCAATAGACAGTGTCAGGAAGCAGCAGGAGAACATATAACAACCCGAGGGTCAATAGATTCTGAAGGACAGGTCAATAGACAGTGTCAGGAAGCTGCAGGAGAACATATAACAACCCGAGGGTCAATAGACAGTGTCAGGAAGCAGCAGAAGAACATATAACAACCCGAGGGTCAATAGATTCTGAAGGACAGGTCAATAGACAGTGTCAGGAAGCTGCAGGAGAACATATAACAACCCGAGGGTCAATAGACAGTGTCAGGAAGCAGCAGGAGAACATATAACAACCCGGGGGTCAATAGACAGTGTCAGGAAGCTGCAGGAGAACATATAACAACCCGAGGGTCAATAGACAGTGTCAGGAAGCTGCAGGAGAACATATAACAACCCGGGGGTCAATAGACAGTGTCAGGAAGCTGCAGGAGAACATATAACAACCCGGGGGTCAATAGACAGTGTCAGGAAGCAGCAGAAGAACATATAACAACCCGAGGGTCAATAGATTCTAAAGGACAGGTCAATAGACAGTGTGAGGAAGCAGCAGGAGAACATATAACAACCCGAGGGTCAATAGACAGTGTCAGGAAGCAGCAGAAGAACATATAACAACCCGAGGGTCAATAGATTCTGAAGGACAGGTCAATAGACAGTGTCAGGAAGCAGCAGGAGAACATATAACAACCCGAGGGTCAATAGACAGTGTCAGGAAGCAGCAGGAGAACACATACTCAACCCGGGACCTGGACGAAGTACTATTCGAGAAATGGCCGGTTAGGCGTAAAGTGAACATTCAGCAGGAGGTGAGCAGCCAGTGTTGAGGAGGCTGGACCCGGCTCCGCTGGGACCAACACACAAGGAAGTCAATATATAGTGATGTATCTCAGAGAATATGTAGGGAGTACGACGGCAGGATCGAACTAGCGGAAGGCTGGTGTCCAAGAACACCCCAGGACGCTGCCTCGACACAACCGCCCTCAAGCTCCTCACAAAATCTCATAAGATGAATATTGGACGAGGAAATTCTTGAGCGGATTCCAAGAAAAAGATGGACACCAGAGACAAAGTGTTCCAGGGTTGAGCTGAGGTAAATCCTGCCGGACATGTCCAGGATTCCTGGGGGATTACAGGGATTACTGACCCTCGGGTGTGGTCCTGGCCTCCATGCCCAGTGGGCACGATACCCACAGTAACGTTCACTCAACGTCCTCAACGGTGAGTCACCGTTAAATTGACTTACGGGTGAATATTCTGAATGGTGTGTGTGCCCCGCCGGCCAGTGACTCATCCCCGCCGGCCAGTGACTCATCCTCGCCGGCCAGTGACTCATCCCCGCCGGCCAGTGACTCATCCCCCCCGGCCAGTGACTCATCCCCGCCGGCCAGTGACTCATCCTCCCAGGCCAGTGACTCATCCTCCCCGGCCAGTGACTCATCCCCGCCGGCCAGTGACTCATCCTCCCCGGCCAGTGACTCATCCCCGTCCCCGCCGGCCAGTGAGTCATCCTCCCCGGCCAGTGACTCATTCTCCCCGGCCAGTGAGTCATCCCCGCCGGCCAGTGAGTCATCCCCGCCGGCCAGTGAGTCATCCTCCCCGGCCAGTGACTCATCCTCTCCGGCCAGTGACTCATCCCCGCCGGCCAGTGAGTCATCCTCCCCGGCCAGTGAGTCATCCCCGCCGGCCAGTGACTCATCCCCGCCGGCCAGTGAGTCATCCTCCCCGGCCAGTGACTCATCCTCCCCGGCCAGTGAGTCATCCCCGCCGGCCAGTGAGTCATCCTCCCCGGCCAGTGACTCATCCTCCCCGGCCAGTGAGTCATCCCCGCCGGCCAGTGAGTCATCCTCCCCGGCCAGTGACTCATCCTCTCCGGCCAGTGACTCATCCCCGCCGGCCAGTGAGTCATCCTCCCCGGCCAGTGAGTCATCCCCGCCGGCCAGTGACTCATCCCCGCCGGCCAGTGACTCATCCTCCCCGGCCAGTGAGTCATCCCCGCCGGCCAGTGAGTCATCCTCCCCGGCCAGTGACTCATCCTCCCCGGCCAGTGAGTCATCCCCGCCGGCCAGTGAGTCATCCTCCCCGGCCAGTGACTCATCCTCCCCGGCCAGTGAGTCATCCCCTCCGGCCAGTGACTCATCCTCCCCGGCCAGTGAGTCATCCCCGCCGGCCGGTGAGTCATCCTCCCCGGCCAGTGACTCATCCTCCCCGGTCAGTGAGTCATCCCCGCCGGCCAGTGACTCATCCTCCCCGGCCAGTGAGTCATCCCCGCCGGCCAGTGAGTCATCCTCCCCGGCCAGTGACTCATCCTCTCCGGCCAGTGACTCATCCCCGCCGGCCAGTGAGTCATCCTCCCCGGCCAGTGAGTCATCCCCGCCGGCCAGTGACTCATCCCCGCCGGCCAGTGACTCATCCTCCCCGGCCAGTGAGTCATCCCCGCCGGCCAGTGAGTCATCCTCCCCGGCCAGTGACTCATCCTCCCCGGCCAGTGAGTCATCCCCGCCGGCCAGTGAGTCATCCTCCCCGGCCAGTGACTCATCCTCCCCGGCCAGTGAGTCATCCCCTCCGGCCAGCGACTCATCCTCCCCGGCCAGTGAGTCATCCCCGCCGGCCGGTGAGTCATCCTCCCCGGCCAGTGACTCATCCTCCCCGGCCAGTGAGTCATCCCCGCCGGCCAGTGACTCATCCTCCCCGGCCAGTGAGTCATCCCCGCCGGCCAGTGAGTCATCCCCCCCGGCCAGTGACTCATCCTCCCCGGCCAGTGAGTCATCTCCGCCGGCCAGTGAGTCATCCTCCCCGGCCAGTGACTCATCCTCCCCGGCCAGTGAGTCATCCCCGCCGGCCAGTGACTCATCCCCGCCGGCCAGTGACTCATCCCCGCCGGCCAGTGACTCATCTCCGCCGGCCAGTGACTCATCCTCCCCGGCCAGTGACTCATCCTCCCCGGCCAGTGACTCATCCCCGCCGGCCAGTGACTCATCCCCGCCGGCCAGTGACTCATCCCCGCCGGCCAGTGACTCATCCCCGCCGGCCAGTGACTCATCCCCGCCGGCCAGTGAGTCATCCTCTCCGGCCAGTGACTCATCCTCCCCGGCCAGTGACTCATCCTCCTCGGCCAGTGACTCATCCTCCCCGGCCAGTGACTCATCCTCCCCGGCCAGTGACTCATCCTCCTCGGCCAGTGAGTCATCTCCCGGCCAGTGACTCATCCTCCCCGGCCATGACTCATCCCCGGCCAGTGACTCATCCCCGCCGGCCAGTGACTCATCCTCCCCGGCCAGTGACTCATCCTCCCCGGCCAGTGACTCATCCCCGCCGGCCAGTGACTCATCCTCCCCGGCCAGTGACTCATCCCCGCCGGCCAGTGACTCTTACAAACATTCAATGGGGAACTGTTCTAAATAATACAAGTCCTACAGAAGGAATAGAAAAACTTACTTCAGAAGCGTATCAAGTCTGTCTGAAACATGTTCCTTTGAGGAAAGCCAGAAGGAGATCTAACGTAGAAAGAGAACGCAGACGACACTATAAACGCAGGAAAAAAATAACGGAACTGCTTATGCAGACACGAATTTCCCGTCAAAGAAGGAATAATTTAAGTAGGGAGATTGAAGAAATCGAGCGGAAATTGAAACACTCATATAAAACTGAAGAAAGGCAGTTAGAACAGAAAGCAATTCAGGAAATAAAGAAAAATCCAAAATATTTCTTCTCATATGCGAAATCAAAAGCAAAAACCACTGCCAGTATTGGACCTATTCGTACAAGTGAAGGTTCATACACGGAGGATGACAAAGAAATTAGTGAAATCCTAAAAAAGCAGTATGAGGACATGTTTAGCACTCCAATAAACAACATGAAGGTGGAAGATCCAGACAATTTCTTTATGCGGGATATTCAAACCCCTGTAAATATAACTGATATAAACACGAGCGCACTAAATTTTGAAAAAGAAATTGAAAACATGCCCATGCACTCGGCCCCAGGTCCAGACTCATGGAATTCAATATTTATAAAGAAATGCAAAGTGCCGGTAGCACAGGCACTCAGTATAGTGTGGAGGAAGAGCTTGGACACGGGGGAGATACCAGATGCACTTAAAGTAGCAGACATAGCCCCTCTACACAAGGGAGGGAGCAAAGCATTGGCAAAAAATTATAGACCAGTTGCACTAACATCGCACATCATAAAAGTATTTGAGAGAGTGATTAGGAGTCAGGTCACCAATTTCATGGAGACCAATGACCTTCATAACCCAGGCCAACATGGATTTCGAGCGGGAAGATCGTGCCTCTCACAGCTACTTGAGCACTACGACAAAGTCACTGAGGCATTAGAAGAGAAACAGAATGCTGATGTGATATACACGGACTTCGCAAAGGCCTTCGATAAATGTGACCATGGCGTGATAGCACACAAAATGAAGTCAATGGGAATAACCGGTAAAGTAAGACGCTGGATACTCAGTTTTCTGTCAAACAGGACTCAGCGAGTAACTGTCAACCATATAAAATCTAGTCCAAGTGCAGTGAAAAGCTCTGTACCTCAGGGAACAGTCCTTGCACCACTGCTTTTCCTTATTCTCATATCAGATATAGACAAAAATACAAGTCACAGCTTCGTATCATCCTTTGCAGATGACACAAAAATCAGTATGAAAATTACCTCGGCTGAGGACATTGAAAAACTTCAAGCTGATATTAATAAAGTTTTCGACTGGGCATCAGAAAATAACATGATGTTTAACAGTGATAAATTCCAGGTACTCAGGTACGGTAAAAATGAGGACCTTAAACATAATACAGAGTACAAAACACAATCAAATGTACCCATAGTAGGAAAACAGCATGTAAAGGATTTGGGAATAATAATGTCTGACGACCTAACGTTTAAGGAGCAAAACCAAGCAAATATTGCGACAGCCAGAAAAATGATAGGATGGATTACGAGAACTTTCAAATCCAGGGATCCCATCACAATGGTTGTACTCTTCAAGGCACTTGTGTTGTCCCGTCTTGAGTACTGCTCAGTACTCACTTCCCCCTTCAAAGCAGGAGAGATTGCTGAAATAGAGGGAATACAGAGAACATATACGGCACGCATAGACGCAATAAAGCACCTAAATTATTGGGATCGTCTCAAAGCCCTCCAAATGTACTCACTAGAAAGAAGACGAGAGAGATATCAAATAATATACACCTGGAAGATACTGGAGGGCCAAGTACCAAATCTACACAGTAAAATAACAACGTACTGGAGTGAACGACATGGAAGAAAATGTAGAATAGAACCAATGAAGAGCAGAGGTGCCATAGGCACAATCAGAGAACACTGTATAAACATCAGAGGTCCGCGGTTGTTCAACGTCCTCCCAGCAAGCATAAGAAATATTGCCGGAACAACCGTGGACATTTTCAAGAGGAAACTAGATTTATTCCTCCAAGGAGTGCCGGACCAACCGGGCTGTGGTGGGTATGTGGGCCTGCGGGCCGCTCCAAGCAACAGCCTGGTGGACCAAACTCTCACAAGTCGAGCCTGGCCTCGGGCCGGGCTTGGGGAGTAGAAGAACTCCCAGAACCCCATCAACCAGGTATCAACCAGGTATCCTCCCCGGCCAGTGACTCATGGCAGAATACAACAACATTGTTCAAACATTTGTAAACGATGAATAAATATTGAGCAAACGTTAATTAGACGTAGATTAAAGATCAATTTAGCGTTCATAAAACGTTGACCGAACGCTGAAAAAACTTTATTTAAACATTGATGCAACGTAGCTGCAACATTACTGGGGCGCGAGGTGCCTCCTCAGCTCCACAATGGTATATTACCCACCCGGAAGAAGTCAAAATAACACCCAAACGTCACATATATGATATATGTGATATTCATATTGGGATGGAAAAGAGAAGTGTAGGTGTTCGGCAGTCCTCTTAATGGCTGGTGTCAATGCCTATCACATTTAAAAAAAAAAAGATGACTGCATAGCTGTTGTGTCGTGTGGCAAAGTAAGGCAAAACAAGCAAAACAAATAGTATGAACAATGGAACTTTAATTAAATTGAAAACAAATTATGAATAAGACAATTCCTTGGCTATGTACAGTGCAAACTAACAAGATGGTAAAGTCAAAAAATAACATAAAATAAAATAGTGGTGACGTTACTCTAAAATGGATAAAGACAAAATTAAATTAACAGATGCTGAGAATAAAGCGCTGGCTGAGAACATCCTCTAATAGACAGAGCGTATATCAGATGGTTGTGTCAGCTTGAGAGCACAGGATATTCTAACTCCAATGGCTGGTACAGGCCCAGACATCGGCTAGGTAGATGGCGCTGAGGGGCAGAGGTGCAGTGGTGCACACGTCGATTCACCAATCAGAAGCGGGCTGGCTGGAAATGGTAGTTTTGTGATCGGCGACGATGGAGGGGGGAGGTGGAGAGCGAGTGTCTGATACGTTTGCGCCTGGCAAAACGTATTTGACTAAATATGTACTACACTTGCTTGTAGTATCTAGATGTTGTAGATGTACTGAAGTAACATGACGATAGGAAAGAGCAGGCCAAATCTCTCTTGAAGGAGATTATCATAACACCCCTATTATACTGTTTTACAGGAACTTCTTTTCGACGGCTCATAAAACGGATGTAACATTGTTATTCTTAGTGTCTCGTCCACAGGTACGTTGGTGAACAGCGATTCTACGAGGACGAGACAATCGGGATGATAGCCGACAGAGTGAATCGTGATCCAGCCTGTACTCCTCTTGACATACCAGAAAATATTCTGAGGAAACTACTCCAAGCTTGTACTAAAGAGGCACCCTTCTTGAGCCCGGATGGGCACATGTATAAGCAAGTAGATGGGGTCGCCATGGGTTCTCCCCTAGGTGTCCTGTTTGCAAACTTCTACATGGGTACCATCGAGCAAAAAGTCTTAGTCGACATGAATTTGAAACCGGCCATATACTGCAGGTATGTTGACGACATTTTTATACAGGTACCTGATGTCAGACATCTGCAGGAGCTGAAGGAGGCATTTGAGCAGAGTTCCGTGCTGCGTTTCACTTACGAGATGGAAAAGGATGGGAAGCTGCCCTTTCTAGATGTAACAGTCATGGAAAAGAGCGGAGGTTTCCACACTGCAGTCTACACTAAGGAAACGAACATAGGAATGTGCCTAAATGCCAACAGCGACTGCCCATACAGGTACAAGAGGAGTGTTGTTACCGCATATGTCGACCGTGCTCTCAGCCACAGCTCAGAATGGAAGCAAGTCGACGAAGAACTCTGTAGGGTAAGGCAGGTTTTAGTCAACAACGGCTTCTCCAATGGTTTCGTCGAAGACATCATAAGAAGGAAAGTGAAACGCCATGCAACCTCTGAAGAGACAACTAACACAACACCTATACCCCCTATTAGACTATTTTACAGGAACTTCCTTTCCACAGCTCATAAAACAGAGGAAAGGGTCCTGAAAGATATTGTTAATAGAAACGTTATCCCTACAGACAAAAATCAGAGGATACAACTGACGATTTACTATAAAACCAGAAAAACGGCCAGCCTACTCATGAGAAACTCTCCAGACACAAAGCAGAACGCTTTAAAAGAGACCAACGTCGTCTATGCCTTCAAATGCCCACTTGGGGACTGTAAGCTCCAAAAAACCCAGTATATAGGCAAGACAACAACATCTCTTTCTAGGCGTTTAACGATGCATAAGCAACAGGGCTCCATTAAGGAACATATAATCTCTTCCCACAACCAAACCATCGCCAGAGAAATCCTAGTAAACAACACAGAAATCATCGATAGATACAGCGATAGCAGACGGCTTGACGTTTGCGAGGCACTGCACATTAAGAAGTCAACACCAGCAATCAACAGCCAATTAATACACAACTATATTCTACCCACCTCAAGACTCCGCTCCAATATAGAAGCATCAAGAAATATGGACCAATAGGCTTTCTACAATCACTTCCATTTCAATACCCATTGTTTCGTGTTCTGTCTTGTGTTGATGAAATTAATACCCTATTAAATACCACCTCACCACATCCACCTCACTCAAATGTAGATATAAACAAATCGGAGATATGTAAGTTCTATTCAGTTGTGTATGTGTAAAGTCTTTGAAAATGTAATAAGTTTTACGAAACGCGCTGAAGTGTCGCGTCAGACTAGAAATAAAAATGAATTTTG